CATCATATTTCTGTTGCTTAAAGTTGATGAGCTTTGATTAAACTGTACTTGATTATGGACTCAAACAACTACATAGTTGATCCTGTTGTGCTTCTTTGTCAGTCTTTATGAGAATGATTGTGGAGGTTTGTTAGCGATATTGTTCATATGCGTACCTCATGGTGAGGGGAGGAGCTTTGTGCCTGATTAGCCTCAGTGGTGCTGTGTGAAGTTGTGTGTCAACTAGAGCAAGTGTTGCATCAGTACTGTTGTAAATGAATATCTACTCCAATGGTTTCTTGTATCTTATCTGGTAGATTGTGTTTTATTTTATTTTTTTATTTTTTTCCCTGGTTGACAAGTCTACTTATACACTCACTCAGAAATAATGAATATGACACGACTACCTTTGACTAGACCATCAAAGTCTGGCTTCATGTCTGATGCATGCAGCACAGTGGACAGATGTTTAGCCGTCCCTTGGGATCTATTATGTGCTGTAGTTCGTCATAGAAAAAGCTTGTTTGTCTCTGTAAGTGAGCTGTTGAGGCTTTTGTTTTCCTTTTAGAATGTTGCGCGCTGCACTGAGTTAGCTCAGGGTAGTTCTGTCTATATTAAACCTATGTGCTAGTGCTAATTTGTTGTAGTTGTGCAAAACGTCTGGCTTGAAGCAGGGTCTCCATCTGCATTCAAATGATAAACAATGATAATAGATATTTGAAAGTTTACCTGGAAGATTGTGATGATTATCACTGACAGCTGTCTTTGGATCTATTTGCCATATTTTTAAAGTAAGACCTTACAGTCTGTTGCGATTTTCAATTGCAAAACTATATATATATTTTTAAAAAAGAACAAAGTAGTTTTGCATTACAACTTGAAAAGGGGAAAAACTGATTGCTCAATAGCAAGTTCTTTTATAGCTCGTTAAAACTTTTTTCATGGTTAAACTTGAGGCTTTGCCATTTGAAAATCTCCAGAACTTTTAATTGTCATCCTAGATTGACTGATTTTTGAATTTGGAAGCCCATGTCCTTGGGAGGACTCTGCCTTTTCTCCTGCTGACTGGCTCATTGTAATGTAAACAAACATATAGTCAGTCTGTAATGACAGTATGCTGTAAATGTGTACAAACTGTCCTAAACACTGACATCTTCAATCTAATGCTTAGCAGAAAGATGAGAGGACTGTAGTTTTGAGGCTGTTTTACCATATCTTCTTATATTCACAGTTGGCACTCTTGATTTTTATCTTCTTCCTCTTGTAGTTATATTGCATCAGTGCTGACAGTTTCATCACAGAGAACCACAGATGTACATGTTGCTTGTCTACAGTCATTATAACTACTATAGATTCTTTACTATGACGGACAGTAAGCGGTGCATCCTCAGGGAGCTTTTGAAAGGCTTCGACTATCCATATGAATGATGTGCGTATGTACGTGTTTGTACTGAAGTCCAAGCCTGTAGTAACTCTCCTCGCTCTGTTGTATACAAGGCTTGGTGGGCATGTTGTATGACAGCCTTTTGACTTTGACAGAACATTTGCTGCCAGCACAGACCGCAGCCTGCAGCATCTCATTCATGTCTTATTATATAAGGATTTTTGTTAGCACTCTAATTTATGTCCTCTCAGCCACCCCATGCCATCCAGGTCAGTTAGTGATCAGGCTCTTTGTCCTCTCCTGAAATCAGAGTCCATTTAGCTTCCTAATGTCCTGAATAAACTAAAAATATTAGCCTCATGCTAACTAGCAGAGGCCAGTTTTGTTGTGGCTTGTGGTTGATATTGAGCTTTGTATTTTTCCCATGTACAGTACTGTTGCAAGAAGGAAGTGGGAGTACTAATGAAATATGGTCAGTTAAAGGCAAACACACTCATATCTGACTAAATAGTTGTACTTTTCACATCTTTGATTAAATTAATTTCTATCTTTGTCTACGGGCTGAATTCCTGAGTTCTCAAAGAACAAGCTTTAACAGCAACAACCTCTATCCTGTGATTACTTATTACTAGTGGTGCAACGGATCAAAAATCTCACGGTTCGGATTGGATCACGGTTTTAAGTCACAGATTGGATCAATTGGATCAAGAGAAAAAATTAACATTTACTTATTCACTTATTGAAGTATTTTTTGCCTGTTAAAAACATTCAACTCAAGACTCATTCCACGCAATTATTAAAAAAAAAAACTATGGTACAGTATAGGGCAGTATAGGGCTTTGTATCTACCACTCAATTCAATTCAGTTTTATTTATAAAGCGCCAAATCACAAAAACAGTCGCCTCAAGGCGCTTTATATTGTAAGGTAGACCCTACAATAATACATACCGCTCATTATATCGCACTCCGCTGTGATATAATGAGCTGTCACGGTCACGTAGCTTTCCGTTGCCCTGGAGGTCTGCCCATTTGTAGTAGTTAGGCTAACAGAAGATGCCTGGGACGGTTCAGCCATAACTTTAAACTGTTCCTGCTCGTACATGCTTGAAACGATCTTGCCACTAAAGTGGACGCGCAACGGGATATCATAGCGTGTCTCAAGCACGTTCATCATAGTTTAAACAACGGAATACGGCCTCCTGTCTGCAGCTAAACACCCCAGTAGCTTTTGTAATGACTTTAGCCCGGTCGGACTGGGCAGTAAAGGGCTGCTTAAATACCGCAATTTCCTCTGCTCCTCCACTTGGACGGCTAGCGCTGGCCATAACTATCGCTTGACAGACCCACCACGCACACCATACACATACTTTTTTTTTCTTCTTTTTCGAATCTTCGGATCACGTGCGTTCCGAACCGTGGAGTGGGATCGGTTCGGATTACGGATCAACCGTGATCCGTTGCACCACTACTTATTACACTGGCGCAACAACGTTGAATCGTTTTTCTTCCAAAAAAATGTTTTTCCTGGATGTCTTGAGTGGTCCTTTTTAAGTCATGCTATAATACATGTAATTGGTCAGGGCCCAAAAGATGAGTTCATGACTTCATGCTCCTTCTAAGGTTATTTGAAACTTGTTGTGATGGTTCACATGTTGTCAGGATTCACACTTTATGGGGACACTGTGACAACTCAGGCTTCTAATCACTGTGTTTCCTTTAATTTAGGTTAAGATTAAGATCAGAACACAGTTCAGTTCACAGAAGTTGAGAAACTTTTCTATGCAACCGGGATGTTGTGTTTTGGTGTCTCTTTTCCTTCATTGGTATCTGAAGCAGAGTCTGCCAGCATCCCCCTGGATGACCTGGAAGAAGGAGGGTTTATTTGAGCTTTTTGGTTATTTTGCACCAGAAAGCATCATGTTGCAAGAACTTAAAAAATGGATCATGTCTTTAGTTTTTGGCCGAATTTGAATCATTGACAGTTTTACAGTTTTCTTCTCAGCCTCTGCCAGAGCAGCACATTTTTTGAAACTATTGGTTTTTCTTCGGACATTCCAGGCTGTCCATGCGCGCATTTGTTTTTTTTAAATGGATGTTTCATTGGTTTTGTTTGTATTTTTATAGGTTGTTAGCGAACTACCTGAACAACTGAATTGGCTAGTACACCAGCCTAACTGACACTAATGAAAATCTTAGCATGTTAGCTTGGTGTATGTATGAATATTTACTTGTTTGCAGAGTTAGGGTATCGTGCTTATATCAAAGGATGACAGCAGATCTTTGAGCAGTGTGCATCATAGATGCTAATGTAACCAGAGGACCACAAAAACAGGGTTAGTTTGCAGATGTGAAACTTTGAGAAAAAGTTTAGCCCCATAAGAGGTTTAAAAAAAACAAAAAAAACAAAACAAAACAAAAAAACATCACCACACCCACATTTGTGGCCACCCTATGGATCTGTACCTCTGACAGCCAAAAACAAATCCTGAGTGTGCTCTTCCAAACATGTGCTCCTGGGTGTGGTGCAGAAAAGTAGTCTCAAGTGTGACTTCTGCTGCGGCTTGTTTTTGTTGCTTGAGAAGTTAGTTTGTTAGATTCTTTTTTTAATTGTTATTTTAACATGCAATCAGCAGCCAGCACACACAGCAGTTGACATTTCCTCAGCTTCCTCCGACTGTGTCAATAGCTCGCAGCTGCAGAACCAGCTCCATTGTTGTCGGTGCCGCTGTGTATGTGTGTGTGTGGGTTTTGTGTGGTTTTTTTTTTTTTTTTTTTTTTTTTTTAAAAAGTTGTGTGTGTGTTTGAGATACTTTGATGGTCTTCTGGCAGGTAGGAGTGCCGCTTGTTTGTGTACTGTAACCATGCTTGAACTGAAGTCTAAAGTGTCTCCTATGCTGGGAAAATGAGGCTGTCTGCTTTGGCTGCAGGAAAATGAACTCGTAGAGAGCTAAAACTGTAACAGGGGATGTTGTTTTTTTTCTTTTTTTTTCTATTTGCATGCGCTTACTATCAAAAAAAAAAGAACTCTTGACCTGCATGACCTTAGTGCACGAACACGCTCGCACACAAAAACTTGTAAATGTGCTTCCTGTGCCTTAAATTCAAACTGGAATGAGAATGCTTAATTTAAAGCCAATACTGGCATTACACTAATATAGGTTGTTTTTATATATGTGTGTGTGTTTGTTACTTTTAAAAATAATTGTTTTAAGATGGGGTTATTTGATCTCTTATATGATTTTAAAGATTTTCTTTTTTTGCTTTCCATGCTGAAATTCTTGGAATAATTCAGAGCTTGAGAGAAATGATTTCTGGACAAATCACTACATTTCATTAACAAACCAGTAAATTTGAAAATAATTTCGAGCGATGTCAACACACTGAAGCACATGGCTATCAACACAAGCTCGTGCAATTGGCTGAGAAGTGAGAGGAGGAGTGAGCGGTGACGGCACCAGCAGCATGATGACTGACATTAAAAATGATCACAAATAAAGTGTTATGAAATGTAACTGTCCCATGAAAAAGTGTTGTGGTTAATCACTTTGGCTTTCTAAATTTGGAGCTTTCTGAACACGTCTAATGTGACTTCATCTCCCCCCCCCCCCCCCCCCCCTCCTGTGTCTCTCTCAACAGGGCTATGTCCTCGGCAGCCACCACAGCTCCCTCTGTGGACAAAGTGGACGGATTTTCACGGAAGTCTGTCAGGAAGGCCAAGCAGAAGCGGTCGCAGAGTTCGTCCCAGTTCCGCTCTCAGGGCAAACCTATAGAGCTCACGCCCTTGCCCCTGCTCAAGGGTAAGTAGAAACACATGTTTGCGTGTATGTGAGAGAAATCTGTGGTTTGTGGGGTGAGAGGCACAAGGGATGATGACCAAATCAAATACAAGTAACATCTAAAAGGCCCCTCTAGCTTTGCTTCTGTTAATCTAATTGTACTGAATTTGAACCCTGGTTCACTGACTCAGTTTCATTGCGTGTAATGTACACAAAAGTGTTATTATATTCAGACATTTTCATATTTCACAAGTATATTTTTTCAAAATTAATGACTAAATTAATGTAACATAAATGTCTGGATATAGGCTAGTCTAGCATTAATCAATCAGCTGAAATAACAGCTGTGATGAGCACTCGAAATCAACATAAACTAATGCTGAAGATCCAACAGTTGATAAGTCATGACTGGAATATTATTTTCACCACTATATAAGCTAACTGGATATGCTTTGCCTCTATATCTGTTACACTAGTCAGAGGCTCTTTCAGGGACTTCCTCTTTTTCACATTTTTATGTGTTAAATAATTTGATGACAGTGCCACATTAGCAAATAGCCTCCATAAACGCACACAGTTTGCAGTATTTTTTTGCAAAGAAATAGGGGATAAAATGTGCACGTCTACTCTTTGATGAAATGATACTAATGTTCTGAACATACAGCAGAGAAATTAAATGAAAGTAGGCTATCGATCACATCACACAGGTATTCAACTAATACTAATAACAATGATGGTATTCATAGCATTGATCATTTGTATCAATCTGCCCACCCCAAGTGAAAACTAAGCCAGCAAATGGCAAATTTCCCCCATTATGCTTAAGCGGCTACAGCAGTAATTACTCAGAATACAGATTTGTTCTGATTAGTTAAAATCAAGCTGAGCAGAGCAGATGATAGTTATGTGTAAACCCATGAAGTTTGATATTTAGGTAAGTAAAATGTCTTAAATGTGAAGTGGAGATTCATTCGTGGTAGTGTTAAACTTCTCTTCAGGGTTTTCAGGGCTTTGGGTGTGGCACCCCCCCCCCTCTGGAAAAATTGGGGTGTTCTAAAACCTTTGACCAGTAGTGTATCTGACAGAAAATAAGCAACTGCATGATGTTTTCACTTGTGAATAATTTGTGTGGACACCGTTCCTACCTTAAGTGCACAACACAGGCTTGTAAAAGGGGGACCTTCCAGGGGCTTTAAGCGTAGATGGCTCATTAAAACAGAAAGGTTTTTTTTTTTTTTTTAAATCATGACACTCACCTTCAATTTGTGTTTTGTCTCTGCCCATTGATGGCAAATTTAGTAGCATTGCTCTGTATAGTCTGGTTGGTTTAGTTCTGTTTGAATGCAGCTGCTTTTCTATGCCAACTATTCTCTGTATGCGAGTGTTTTATTAGTGACATGTCTAGACAGGCAGATCATTTCGATGATTGCAGAGAGCAGGTTGGTGCTAGAGGACGACCTGTACAAGTTATACAAGACCCATTCTAAAATTTACTGTGGTATTAAGACAGTCCACCTTAAAAATAATCTTATTTTATTGTCACAAGTAGTCATGGATTACTCAGTTGCTCTGCCCGATTCTGCTCAGGTCAGCTGGTTGTTGAGTTTGTGGGTTTTAAAGCATGTGTCTTACCAAGAGGGAAGTGGCCTCTGTTTGGCACGCTGTGTGACATCAACAGTCATAACAGAGTTGAAGGGTGTTTCCCCCGTCTCTTCTTTACTTTGAGTTTTCATTCATTATAAGTTTGCGATACCACTATATCAGCAAATGTCTAATACTGGCTAAAAAAATCAGTCTAAAGATGTTCTCATTAAATGCAAGATGTATGTGAGGAATAAGAAGATCATAGGTTAAAATATGAGGAATCTTCTGATTCCTCAAATGGTTTAATAATAATATACCCTAAGCTTGTTCTTGTTATATGTAGCTATTTGGCTGTCATGATGAAATGGACTTAACATTTGAACTGCCTTGAACAGAGATTGGCTCCTCACATTTTGTTTAAGCAAGAGGTTTTTTCAAGTTTAAAGTTGGAAACATGGATACATTTTCAGTTATCATAGAACCGCTGAGAAAGTCCAGAGGCTCAGGTTAGGAGGAACTGGCAAAGATCGATTTAAACGGATCTACACCCATATGTATGTTTTTGATCATGCCGCATTATAAGGGCATTTTCTCTAAATTGTTCGATAAAGAGTCTCAGTGTATTAATAAGTAATGGAATGTGTTCAAACGTCACATCTCATATAACTTTAACCTGCATTGTGACATGCTAAGTGAATAAGGCATCTGTGCTATGTAGCTGGGTGTAGTAATACACAATGTGTTACACTGACGTTTCACCTGAGTAAATACAACAGTGTGGTGGTGTGGTTTGGTAGTGACAGCAGGAATGCTGTCAGACAGAAACCAGACAGATCCTCCTCCTCTCTGAGACTGAGGGAAAGTCACTTCATAGCTCCATCTCAGGATGCAGGAAGAGGCAGAAGTGACTGATGAAGGCAGCTGAAGATAACAGTAGGCTCTCTTGTCTTAAAACTATGTTAAGGTCATCGTCTATTACACATTAAACTAACAAGTTACTACACTTGGTGCACTGAGTTAATCATAATCTCTGTGCTAACTGTCAAATGGTTCTGTTCTCTTATCTCATAGAAGCTTATATTCAGTGACACCTGTGCTGTATATGTAGACTCTGTCAGCACACAGCAACACGCTTGATCTCCAAACCTGTGTTGATTACTGTGGTTTCCATGAGCTGCAGATATTTTTAGTAAAGAGGTATAGTCTGTCTGCTAAAGAGAGAAGCAAAAACATCAGGGTAGTTCTAAATGTTTCAAAGAAATGCAGAACTAAATTTAATAGAAAGCCATGCTTCATTTCCTTTTTTGGAAAAGCAGAACAGCAAATCCACCTGGACAATGATAATATTAGGAAATAAAAAACAAGAAACAGAGCAGGTAAGAGTGCTTCAGGTGAGGTCGCAGACTAAACTTCACCTTGGTATACCCTTGGTTTTTTAGTGTGCTTTATAAATAAAGTTTATTCTTCTTCTTCTTCTTATTATTATTATTAAATAAAACATGCTGAAGGTGGGACACATGACGTCCACTCAGTCGCCATGAATTCACGGTGGGAGTTACCCTCTCTGGAATACATCGGAAGTCACACAGACTTTGAACTAGGGACGTGGTGGTTAGAGGAGACTGTTGATGTGTAGAAACAGCTTCAGTGATAAATACAATTAGAACCATAGTGTGTGGAACCACAGTTATGGTGTCAGAGAGGAATCCCCCTTCTCAAGTGTTTTTGTGCAGTGAAGCCGTTAAAAAGCAGCAAGTGTACAGCGGATCATATTTCCTGTACTGTTTTTGCAAAAGGCTCTGCTTTCTTCTTCAAAAGGTTGCTTTCAGGAAATTCTGTCCTGTTGTCCTCCCAGTAAACCACCACTGCAAAAAATGCTGGAATCATCTGATAGAGTAGGTTGATAATTAAACAGCAGCACCACTCAGTGTGACCTCAGGTCCTCGAGTACGTGGTTGATACGATTAGTGATTTAAACCATACCCAGTAACCTGTGAGTCAGTTTCTTTTTTAAAAGTGACAACCCAGATGCAATTTGTTCTTTAAACAGTCATAAATTCTTTGGGATTTACATTGACAATTAAATATCAAATGCTTTTACAATTAAACCTGTCCTTACCAATGATGTCCTTATTGACTTGATCAGTCTTTTAATATTTTGTATCTCCTCAAAGAGAGTCACATCCAGTACTTACTTTAGATTTATCAAAATGTTTTAACACTGACGTGCATGTTTAGCTCTGATACTGACAGCGTAGTTGCCACAGTAATAATTATGACGCGTTTTCACCGTCTGTTTAAAACACTTCTCAGGTTTTTGGCTATACTGACACGATAACATCACACAGTTGCTTACTTGTCGGCACCAAATCCACGATACAAATCTCTTAACTCTTAAATAACCTTGTTTTTTTTCCACTCCTTATTCTGATGCTCAGTTTAAGCTTAAACAAGGCCATCTTTACCATGTCTAACATACCTGAAAGGATTGAGTTGCTGCCGTGTGATTGGCTGATTAGATATCTGTGTTAAGAGGTGTACCTAAGGCCATGTCCACACTAATATGTTTTGGTTTGAAAACGCATCATTTTGGCCTTCCGTCCACACTGAGACGGTGTTTTCAGTCAGGAAAAACGGAGCGTTTTGAAAACGCTCTCCAAAGCAGATTCATTTGAAAACTCTATTTTCGCGGCGCAGTGTGGACAGCGAACCCGGAGCCTTTTCGAAAACGATGACATATTTTAGTCATGTGATGCAGTCATGTGACCAATTAAACTAAGATAGTGGAGGGCATTACACAGCAGTTGTTTTGTTTGCTCTCAATTTTGACAGCTCTATTAAAGATTTAATATCAGTGTGTACATGCTCCAGATAGTTTTTCTTCAAGTTCTTTAATTCACGCTCGCTTTTGCAACCTTGTACTTTTGTGTTACTCGCACCAACAACTCCACCTCATTGTTGGTCCATTTAAAAAAAACTCTGTGCTTTTCCTCGACATTTTGCAGCAACGTTTCAAAGAGCTGGAAAGTAAATAAACAGCAGACAGAAATGAGGCAGGTCGAATTGTATTGCGTTTCACGCATGCGCAGTACTGGAACGTAAGCGTTTTCATCCGTTTCAGTGTGGATGAACAACTATGAAAACGATAGTGTGGACGCGGAGCGTTTTCAGACGTATACGCCGTTTTCAAATATATGTGGGCTAGTGCAGACATAGCTTAATAGTGACCAATGAAGTGTATGTAAACAGCTAACAGTGGTTTATTTTACAGTCTTACTGTATTTATTTGTGGTTCAGTGACTGAGCCGGCACACCGTCCGTCTTTTTCAACACTTCCATGGTTCAGTTTCACACGTTCACTTTGCATTCACACACATCCACACATTTCCCACCTCCTCAGTACAATCACAGTCTGCTGCTCCTGACCACTGCCTCAG